AGTCACTGAGGCCCGATAGCCCCGCCGCCATGCCAAGGCTGTGATATCGACAGAGCTTGGAAGTAAGGATATGACGCTTGTTCAATATGTTATGAGTTCTAACGGTCAAATATCATAAGTCTGGGTCACTCTGTTGTTTAAGCCCTGTAAACTACAGATGACGGCGATTAAACACAGCAATTGTGTTACGATAATTCATGACGTTGATTTTGACTATGCACCATTGACAGTAATTGGCCAGCCATGTCGGTTTTAACAGGTCAGACGATATTAGGCGAACATTGCTTGATCTGTTGAAGCTTAGCATTTGGTCAGTCGAAATATTTCCATAGTCTATGATTAAAGTGGAAGTCAAGAACAGGTATGGTAAATTGCAATATATGTTGGCATCACATAAAGATCAGCTGGATGAAGGCGTCTCCAAGATTTTGCCACAAAATTGTTTCTTCTGCAGCTCTTTTCCACGTCGCTCTAACAAATTTCTTCAGCTTATGCTAACAATGTTACGGAGGTGCTCACAGGCCGTTTTCTTTCCCCTGGAACCATATCTTTATTGGAACCGTTACTTGAACGATAATCGGTTTTTCTTGTAGCGTGATGCATGTTTGTATCTACGGCAAGAGAATTTTCAGAAATATACATTATGACACTATCTCTGTTATTGTCTTGTAATAGCATTCCGTTATCAGCTATCTGAATTATCCTAGTTATGGGTACTCCGTGATTGCAAGTCGACGCTTCTCCAGTGTTCTCTCTTCCTCATATTTTACCTATAACATTGGCTAAGCAGTTTGAGAATAGGTTCATCCCAGTATGTCCTCAAACGATCGAATGAACGTCTTTGGTTCAGCGGATAAGAGTTTGTAATTTTTGACATATATCGACTATCTCTGAGGAGTGCCAAAAAAATTAGACCAATAAATCTTGGCATCTTAGAAGGCAGAAATCGCACTATTGATCATTCGTATGTTTAGAGCGTAATTTTGGAGCGATACCTTAAAAATTCTTCGTTCGACTGTTCTTTGCGTGACCATCAGTTTATTCTCCTCAGTTCCGGAAGTAGAGCAAAATTCAGCGCAGTAGATCATGGAGGAGGGAATGATTTAATCGAGCAATCCATTATTCACTCACATGGACAGCTCACTGTCGAATGGCAATGTTTCAATGAGGTTAACTGTATTTTATATTATGGCTTGTTAATTATATTTCCCATATGATAATGTTTCACTGTGCCCTTTCTCTTGCGACTAGCTGTCAATCATTTCTCTCAGATTCATGGACAGAAATCAATCTTTTTCAACTCGCTCTAAAGGCAAGCAGATTTCTTTTTTGTTTTACTGTTCGTACCGTATCCTAACTTTATTGAGCTATCAGATCGGTTACGCGAGAGAGAGCGCCTATCATACAACATGACCGTATGTCTCTCGCGCTCTGTCATGACCACACCTAAACACAAACGCTGCCCTTACCGTTCACGAGTAAATGATTGATTACTCGTTTTTTAGCTGATGTCACTGAGTCATATGGTAGAAGTTGCTTGACTGAAGAAATTTTCAATTGATAGGAGAAAGTTTACGCTGTGCTTGCGAGACAAGGATTGGCGCTGGCACCTCTGAAGTGTTTCTTATGCCACTGACCCTCCCCCTCTCCCCAATACTTTTCACTATCTCTTCTTCTTGACCAATGGTTTTAGAATTTGTGAGGTCCATCTTGGCTGCTGCAATAGTGAAGGAAAATATGTATTGCAAATTAATTGGCGTGCGATTCTTTAACTTGGTCATCGCGATATTTACATTATGTGAATTTCGCTAAAATCTGAATCACACAGAGCGGGTATAGTACGCTGAGACGCGAAGCTGTGTACGCTAAGGTCTGTTGACGTTTTAGCACTTATCGTACGATCTGCCCATTCACTTAAGGAATATATCATTCTTGGAGAAACATGCGATAACTACTGCTGGCTTGTGGCTTATTGCTCTTCTTACAGTATGTTTGGAAATGTAGCATTGACGGCATAAATGACAAACGTTTTCTACGATGAAGAAGGATAACAAAGTGATTAAGTTTGAGCATCCTCTGTGACGTACATTCCTATTATTCAATCTAGTCGTATGGATTTGTTTCATCTTTCCCGATTCTGTCCATCAAACTTCGTCTGGGTGTTCTCCGAGCCTATGTCGTGAGCACTCATTCACCGCTGAGAGTCAATAGAATGAAAATGGATATCTTGCTTCCGACCAAATGCTTGGTCAGAGGGTCATTCTTGTAAAGAAATCACTGTTTTTGTTATTCACACTCTGTGGAAAGACGTTGATGGAGGCCCAATTTATGGGAAGTAGTCAAGCCTACCTGTTCGCCATGCAAACGAGTCTAGTTCTTTATTGGTAATAATCGTCTATACCGTTTTATCTCTTTAATCTCAGCCGCGGTAGCGTTCCTCTACTTCAATATTTGCTATTTCTCTTCTACAGTAGCGGTATTTCTCATATTTCCATATTTTGTTTTAATATATTCTTTTATCGTTCAGAACAAGACTGAAGAATGTTTATTACAGATGTAATCAGGTACTTTATTTCAAGTTTGTAGTTTTCGTCTGCGTTGTCACTGTCAAGAGAGTAAAGACATGAAACTTTAGCTGATTGACTTAATCAGAGAAGAAGAATCTTTGGTTTCGCGAGGCTTCGAGATTCACTTCCAGATCTCACAGCCTACCTGACCTAGCCTGGAGGATCTCTTGCCGGTGCCACAATGGGAATCAAATCCTATTGCTAATAATCTGCTTAATGACCCTGTGATAGAACACAACAATTTATGGTCGCACCGCATAATTTTCAACCCTTGCTCTATGACCTCCTACAGTGCCCCGATTTCAACATCGAAGCGATGCAGCATAGCAGAAACTCTGTAGACAACCGTCGGTGTTTTTGAGGAGAAACTTTTCTGTCTTAGAGGCACAGAGCTAGGAAACTGATATAAGTTTTGTTGCAGTGAAGCACTGACGATTGCGGTAACTTTCGAAGATGTAGGGCAGTCGCTGAACGTTAATGTTAGAACGGCAATAACCGAGGACGGAAACATTAAAATACGTGTAAATAACGGTTCTCCTGAAATTTCCATGATACGTCTCCTTTATGTCACCCTTCTGTTATGGTTATGTTATGTTCGGTTTTCGTTTCTCTTTTACTCATCTATAACCGTCACTGGTTACTAGCTCCATGTAAGTCCCTGATCATTGCTGTCTACCTCAGCCGATCATGTGCTATGTCTGCCACCAAGTCTAGTCAGCCTTTCTTTCACTCACTGGCGTCACTTGCATCTCTAACTTAGCGGTATCTAAACGTCAGCTTTGAGAGTGCCCGCCTCTTTCTCGTTACTATCCAGAGATCTGGGTGGCATTTATTAATGCAGGTTATATCATATAGTTATACCATATAGTTAGCTTCTCAACACGTGCTCCAGCCGACGCAGTCGCTGCTCTTCCATGACAGTAAAGAACTGGATAATGTTGCAACAGGCATAGACAACGTGGTAACGAAAGAAAACATTCGATCAAACGAACGTGAGAAAACATCGTGTTTCGTTCCTACCGTGGCAATAAATCAAAAACAAAAACTTCATAAAATTATGCATATCATATTTTAGATTTATTTCACTCTGGTGTTTTTTTCAGGAACAGTCAGCAAGGCAAGCGACCTTAGCAGTTCCACTGAAAATCGAAGTGAACAACGACGACGACCAAGCATTTTCTCCAGAAAGTACTAAACGCGATAAGAAGCCATTCACTTATTTTTCGGGTGGAAAAGCACCGGATTTGTCTGGCAGGCCTTCGCCAAGCATCATCAGAAAGACCAACACGCTAACCGGTGGACCGCAAGTGCCTCGCACACTTCCGATTGTTCCTGACCTACAGTACAGCGAAAATCCGTCTCCACAACAGCAGCCGGCGAAAGACATGGCAACTCTGACTCATCAACAGTACAACAGTCCAATGGCCCTGTATTCGAAGGAAAACATTCAAGAGGTGCTACAGCAATCTGCCGATGGTCCGCGACCATTCAGGGCAGATGCAGGGTACGTGGGTTATTCGATATTCTTTGATACACGTCGTGCCTGTAGCAGAGGCGATTGAGGTATGGAGTGCCATGATGGTTTCGATCTAAACTACACCTTAGTCACTGTCTTAGGAAAAAATTCAGACTTGTGACTTTGGTCTGTAGTGAACTCGACTGTTCCATGCTTGGAGCTTGAGATCTGATTTTTAGTCAGCAATGCAGATGAGTTTTCAAATTAGCAAGGCGAGGAGTGCCACAGTAGAAACTCCCATGTACTTGCTCACCTCGTTGCGAAATCTTCGTTACGTTCCATCATTAAAAATAGGGCGACTAAGCTTTCATACATCGATGAAAGCGAAACCCGAATTGTAGGTCTGGAGAAAAAAGTGTCAGTTCACATCTTAAGTTCAGCACTGCAGCCGTAAGATATATAGTCTATTCACTGTAAGGATGTATTCTAATATTGGATTAACATCATTAAAATTATCAGTACCTCCACAGTCGCATCATCGACGAAGAATTTGAATCCTCGCCGCACAATATTTGCAGAGTACAATCTATGTTCGGTGATCCAATGCTTAAAAACGAAATATGGCCCTTTTTGAAAACTGAAGATGTCCCAGTATAGGAACTGTGTGATGCTTAAAACGGAAGATTTTCGATCAGTGCCTCCTTCCAGTGGTGATTCTGACACCCTTCTTTTCGTGAAGTTAATAGCTGGGCGCTGATCCCCATTTCCATGCCATCAGGAAGGTATGTCTTTTAGGGCAAAGTCTACAGCAGCAGTGTGGCAAGCATAGTGCAGATGGTCTGTTTCTTTCCCACAGTACCATATTTAGAAGAAAACGGAATGCCTCTGACCGAGGCTTAAACCATTGATTTCTCGATATGAGCCAGATGTTCCACCGACTGAGGAAACCGGATTTGAAAAGGCTTACGGTAAAGTTCGAAGCTAGCCTCGTGCACATTGTGAGATCGTGCCACTTTCGGATTCCCAAATACAGTGGGATCAGATGGCCTGCTTAAATTTTTTTCTCCTTTGACAGGCAGCCGCACAATAGAGCCGCTCTGCGCCTTAAAAATGGTCCTGGAGGGCAATATGCCATCCGGAGAGAGGTACTGTTTGAAATATGAGCTATTCTTATACGGCAAAATAGTAGACGAAGGAGGAAATTTCATACGAGGTAAGTGGTGAGCTCGCAGTGCGTGCGTTTCAAATGAAATACACGAATACTATCACGTTACGAGAAAATGCATCATATTACGAGTTTTCTACTCATCACCGGCATCAAAATACTCCAGCCAACGGCCCACACAGTTTCGATCATCCAGTACTGTTCCAGTCGGTCCAAAAGATTTCCTTTGGTCAGGTGTTGCACTTCTAAAATTCTGTGCTCTTCTCCCTTATGCGCGATTTCAGGTACAGTATATTTGATCGTTAGGTTAGTTGTCATATATTACCTTTTCTTTATTGCACATTTGATGATAAATTCAATTTCGAGGGAAAGCAAACATTTCAGTACTAGTGGGATGTCATTTACTCTTACTCTTCTGTAAGGGTACTAACGTTTTATCGAATTCTTTCATGGATCTTATGATGCGGCGTTGATCCGCATTTCAACGCCATCAGCATAGAATATTTTATTTTGGAAGGCACTGTTTGTAGCTGAATCTCCATTGCAGTATTTTTCTGCTTCGTTTTCACGTAGTTACATTCTTTCATGTCCCTCGGAAAGAATCAGAATTCAAATCCGCGATTACCTGATCCCGAGTCTGACGCCCTATCGATCGAGCATCTCTTCCTGTTGAAGAGCGTTGCTACACTAAGGTCATTCTTAATAGTCGTATGCTAAATACAAAACATGTAGTTTGTCAGTGCCTATCAGATAAATATAAATTAACGTAACATAATGACTTTCTTTAGAAAATACGATCTGACGCATTCACAAACTTATCAGCTAGTCCATGAGCAAGATCAGATTTCTCCGCGTCACAGCGCACGCTACGAAGACTCCTCAGGTAGCGAGTACCCCCGATACAAGGGCTACGTTGATGCAAACTTACAATCTCCAAGTTTCAGAAGACTGCAGTACATGACTGGAGTAGAATCGGAAAGCGATACTGAGGCTAAAGGTAAACTTTTTCACATTGTTGCTGCTGTTATTGATCTGTTATCATTATTACTGAATAACAAAGTTTTCTCTATCATCGAAACTGTTACGATTGACTGAGTGTTGATGATTAACACTATGTTGTGCTGATGATTGGCAATCTGCCATCACTGATATAAAATGGATGAGTGCCGCAATACCACGTTGGCTGCGTTTTGGCATTTATAAATCATTAACGTATGCCATCTGTTTGCATTGTTTTCAAATGTTTTCAGAATTGTTCACACAAGAGACTTTTGATCATCCTGGCTAAATCATCGAATCAAGCAACAGATTTAGGCATGTTATCAGGAGATCAAAAGACAGACTCACAAAGCTAAATGGCATCTAATCACGCGTCAGACCGAGCAGCAGGGAGCTCAAGTATACTGAACTTTCGGAAATATCGTGCTTTTGGATGCAACCAGTTTAGCATGTATAACCATTAGAGAACTGCTGGATTCTGCGTCACCCATCAACCAAAAGGAATATCTCTATTTGAAGACCAATGCGCCAACGAACGAGCTAAATAATGGATGGATGAATGGTGGAACGAAAAAACAAAACATTTTATGATGGGAGTGGGGGGGCGGGAGATAAACGGACGTTTGGATGGGAAGAACAATAAACGAGTAGATAAGAGATTTAATCGATGAGTGAATGGTGGAACAAAGGAGGAAAAGAGGAAACTATACGAACTATAACCAAGGGCTTTAGGAATATTATGTACCTGGCATTGCTGCGCCATGGATTCGAGTTCTACTGACTGAGTAAGAACAAGTACCATTCCGATCGCCTAACAAGGCTCTTGCCCCTTGGCTTTGAAGGAATTGTGGGCTGCAAAAATGAATGAATGAATGAGTGAGTGAGTGAATGAGTGAATGAGTGAGGTTACATGTGCTCCGATTACTGGTAATGAATGCTTCTATCTGGTCGCTGATTGTATTAGTTGTTAAAATTGGTTTTGATTTGTGATAAGTTCAGTAAATCATTGTTTGTCGCTCTGTAGATGAACATCAACGAGTCAAATGTTGTGCGAACAACGTCCAGTTAACTGGCCATGTTTATTTACTTATCACAAATAATTTTTTGATTTATACCTATGCCATTGAATGCGGTCTTTGCCTGTGATACTTCTGCCCATTTGTAAACTCCCTTCATATGATGACTTCCAATAC